TTTTTAATCGGATTGAGATCCGACGATTGTGGTGGAAGATGAAGAACTTTCGGGCAACGATAAAGCAAGAATTCTTGCACAATGCGTGCTTTATGTTTGGGGTTGTTATCCTGATAAAACTTAAAATTGTTGCGAATTCCCATTTTTTCTGCACTATTTAATAAATTACTTTTCAGTAGCTGCAAGTAACAGTTTTTGTCCATGATGGTGTCAATAAAAACTAAATTGCCAACGCCTTTGAACGAAATGCAGCCCCAAACCATCACGCTGCCTACGCCGTGTTTTACGGTACCTCTCGTGTTTCGATGGTGGAACTCTTCATTCGCTTTCCGCAACACCATTCTTCTTCCATCTGAATTGTGGATGTTAAATTTGCTTTCATCAGTAAATGTAACGTTGTCCCACCATGATTCCTCCTTTAAAATAAACTCTCGTGCGAAGAATACACGCTTTTTCTTGTTGGCCTCGTTAATAAAAGGCTTTTTTCTACAGACACGGCCGTTGTACCCGTGTTGCCTAAGAGTTCTCCGAATTGTTTCAGGATGAACTGGTGTTCCTGCCTCTTCATAATGTTCTGCTGCCAAATTCGGAGCACTTAATCGAGGATTTGCTTTAATTTTTCGAACCATTCCTCTTTTTTCTCTCGCAGTTAGAGCGGCTAGTCGACCAGTTTGAGGAATAAAGTCGATACGATCTTCATCCTCGAACCTCCTAACAATGTCAGCGACCGTACTTTTACTGATTCTAAGTAAAGAACTAATGTCACGGTAAGACTTTGCTTTCCCACGATGAAAAATTATTAATTGACGTAAATGAAACGATGTACTTTTCCTTTACGACCCATTTTCAACGTGTGTCAAGCTCAATACTGAAGAATACTGTGGTAACATCGTCACTATCGCTAGAAGAAGTAGTGAACACGATCCATTTATTAGTATCTGCGATACGATCTGATTAATTCGGACATACCCTGGTATCCGAATATTTTCGTGTGTCACTGTATATAAATGAATGAAACAAGGTGTCGAAAGATTGATTTCTGAGATTTTATGTCACGTAGTGTATAATTTTCTAATTGAAGAGATAGCATATAGAAGACTGGATATTCTAAATTCGAGTTAACACTAATCATACCAGACTTAAATAACCGTATTTTTATTTTTTTCTAAAAATTCTGTATCCAGCATTGTTGCTTTGGTTACTTGACCTTTCGACTGTCAGTTTATGACTCTGTAATATATTTACTTATTTGTATCCAGAATTGCTTTAAGCGATACATGTGCAATGCTTCGATTAAGAATTGCTGTATAAATCCAAAAACTCTTATGTGTATGAATTTAGGGAAATAAATACTACTACTACTACTACTACTACGTATAACTATATAACTATTTCTGCGCAATAGCTGTGTACATAATGTGCGATGAAGGGAGGGGTAGAGAGAAGATTCTTGAAATTAATTTTCAGTTACTTTGTATGTCAATGTTGAGTTTCCCGAAATTCATGGTACAAATTGGGTCAGGGAAATTTTATGTCTCGAAATAAGACGAACATCAAGAATAACGAAATTCATCATTTAAATGTTAATACGTATGTATACAATCGTTCAAAAGTTTGGAATCACTTATTCGATGACGAGGAACTTCGAATTGTTTAATTCTGTTTTAATTTTTTAAACCTGTCTCTTTTATCACAGTTGTTGAAAGATAAGTTTAATTATATTCAAAAATCAATCTAGGATATAAGGTGTGTATAAATAGTTTATACGATAGCAGTCAAAGATAGATATACCTTCTCTGTGTACTAAAATAATTTAAAAGACAATATATATATGTAGGAATTGTTTAGGAGGCAGCAAGAGGACGGTGGTAGATAATAAAAGTATGATTTATTGTGAACTGATTTAAGACTTATTATAGACGCTATGACCTTTTACACTGACTATCTCTCACAGAACTCTCCTTGGAACTGTTCGTTTCACGTCTATGCATTCTTATATATCCCATTTGCATCCAAGCGCGGAATATTCCGCGAGCCCGCGACTGTCTACTATCACCAAGCGCGGAATATTCCGCGAGCCGTCGTTCGAGCGCGGAATATTCCGCAAGCCATCTTTTACTGCACATAAGACCGACCACGCTCACCATTCCTACATATATAGAAATATGAAATATAGAAATATGAAGACTAAATGTAACAATACGATGGGAAAACCGCCTACTTAATTATTAAAAATAAAAAGCAATGATGATACCAATCTGTATTTCTTTTCCTTCCCATCAATGGTAAGCATTAAAAATGATTCCAAACTTTTGAACAGTCGTGTGTGTATATTTATTATTACTGAATGCGAGCATCCGTTAAAATCTTTTACATTTACATATACTATCTCGATGTATTTTCTTGTTCTCTCTATTATTAGAATATTATTTTTCGATATTAGTAATATACAAAATACTACTATTTCCAACTCGTATTGTAGTTTTAATTTCGGCTTATGCTCGGATTAACAATTCGTATGTATTATTGAATTCGTTCAAAATAATATTCTAGTATTTGTGATACGACTTTGCAGTTATAAACGATGGTAAAATTCGATGAAAATGTCGAAACAGGCCTGCAAATGTATACAAACTTGATAAAATATTAACTATAAACACAGATATCCTCCATATTATATGATAACTATATGAAACAAAGAGCTACTACAAGAAATCGAGTTAGATATCAAAAATTAGTAAAAGAACTACTTTTATCGTAATTAAAAGAAATATGATTATTAAAACAATCGATAACTGATTAAAAATATCCTACATTAATATCACATAATATTTTCTAAAATATCACGAATTACAATTATAAAGTTTCCTATTCGATATTAGTAATGTAGTAATACTTAAAATATTGAAATGGAACTATTATATTTGTTTATTTAATATTTTTTATTAATTTTTATTATCTTTATTAATCATGTTTAATCAATACTTTATTTAAGACAATCGTGAAAAATATCATGGAACTTTTGTGAGAAAAGTTTTTGATTAGCAAGTTTCACATAGATAAACAACTTTCGTGGAAAGTGCTGATACGACACGAATTAAAAATTAATTCAAAATTTCAATTTTTACAAATTTCATACGTACATATACCCGAGGCAAGAAATTCAACTACTAGCATGGAAAATATCGTATCACGAAACCGTAAAGTATTCATTACGTGCCGTTTTGTACGGATTCTTCCAATTTTTGAATTTCGAAATGAAACCGTATTTCGAAATTATCATGAAGATACGTGTACATCGTTTTCGTAAATTATGAAAATTCATATGCAATTATAGATGTATTAATTTACACTTGCTAATTATGAAAATACAGAAAGTTAATTATATATCAACAGAAATAATAATACAAATATTAAATATTATCAAGTGTCAGCACTTCCGTATATGTCTTTAAATCTGCTTGTAATGTTACCTATACATCTTCGAGCCTGGTACATTGCTATAATTATTGTATTACACTAGACCCTTCGGTATCTGAATTAATAGGCAAACATGATCGGTCATTTAAGGGAGTTTCCAGATAGAGGAACGCTTACCTCGTCATGACTATTTCACATTTCAAGAATGATAATTGCGATAATATCAAAGGATAAGATGTAATTCGAATGTAGTACGTTTTTAATTGTTTAAAAATTCTTATCTTGAAAAGAAGTCTAAATTTTATTGTATATTGCCTTCGATTACTAATCGAACTAACTAGCCTTCTTTTATAAACTATAAAAGCTTCAAAGTAAAAATATCTTCAAAGTTGTGCATTTTGAAAACGTTTATTGAACTTTATGTATTTAAATGATGTTTAAATGAAAATATTATATATTTATTAAACCATATTATATCTCAGGATAAAACTTATAGATGAAATGTATCTAACTCTGTTTACACTTCCTTACGTTACTCGTACTCACGTTTGCTTTCAATAAATTCTGAATTGCAACTGACCTATCAAACTATTCTCTCATTTGTTCTCCTTCCTTTCATATATCACATAAATATACACAGTCTGTATTATACTTCATTCATTACACGCATACTCAATCCACTCATTCTTTCTTACAGACGTCATTTACTTTACATCAATATATACATTTACTGACAAAAGTGAAGAAACAACGTAATCATTTGGGAATTTCGGTATATTCTCTATCTTCTAAGACACAGGTTGAAACTAAAAATAGTATAATAAAATAATATCCCATACATCAAAAAACAATAAGTTTTTCGAACATATTTGTGCAATTAAATTGAATCGAGGAAATAAGACAAAAGGTAAGTGACATAAGTTAAGAAATATATTTTGTTTAATTCATATAATACTTTAAATAAAAACAACGATATACAGATATCTGTAATTTTCATAACAGTCAAAATAAGATGTTGGATAACCCTTAGATTTGAGGACTGCATGGCATCTGCATGGTTAATTCAATTAATCAAACACCAGCCTCAGCTGGTATTTCTAATCATATTATCGTGACTTTTTCCATTAAATCCGTTTTGTTGGTAAAAGAATGACTTTGCAATCCCAGAGATGTTGAATTGGGTTCAAGTCCCGAGATCGACTTGGCCACTTGATTACATTAAGATTCTGTTCTGCAAGAAACATCTTGACTAAATTAGAAGAATATTTGGGGTCGTTATCGCATTGAAATGACCACCCTGACAATTTGTTCATTGGCAAATCGCAGCATATGATTTTGTAATACGTTACAATACACAAATCTATCCATTGTTTCTTTTACTTGTATTAATGGACCAGGGCCGTTATGCGAGAGACAACCCCACACCATTACATTACCGCAACCAGGTTTAACTGTCGGTTTTAGATATTTAACATCAAATTGTCGTCCAGTAGGACGTCGCACATTATTATTAGAGTCATTTCCAAACAGATTGAACTTACTCTCAGTGCTCCATAGCATTTTTGAGCATTCGGTATTAGTCAAATTAAGGTGTTTTTTTTAACAAACTCCAACAGAGCTGCTTTATTTTTCTTCGACACGAGTAGTTTCTTGCATGCTTCGCGTAAAAAAAGATTATTTTCATCCAAACAACTAACTGTCCTGCTATGAATGTTTTCCAAACCCAGTTTATTTTTAATTTCAGGAGCAATGTAAAATGAATTCGACTTCGAGAGCGTTGCAATTCGACGATCTAAATTTTCAGTTGTTTTTCGCAGTCTGCCAGTTCGTGGTGCTGCTTTAACAGTTTCATATCCGTCAAATCGTTTTATAATCTTAGTGACTATGCAACGATTCGTACTAAACACTTTTGCTATGTCAGTTTTTTCCTTGTCCTTCTTAAATGTTTTAATTATTTTTAGTTTCTCAGCGTCCGTTAAATATTGCGTTTTTGTCATATTAAACACAACACAAACTACAATATGAACTAGACTCAGCGATGTCAGAAAGGGAACTGTGTTTGGGAATATGTTTTTTTACATTATGACCTCAACTTATCGTGAGTACTTTGTATGTTTCTAGACTTATGTCGCGTAGATTTTGTCTTATTTCTTCGATTCAATTTAATCGTGGTCCTAACACAAGTGTATTCGAAAAAAAGTTATTGTTTACTAATGTATGGAATGATGTTTTATTATGCCATTTTTAATTGCAAACTATGTATCGCAGAAGATAGAGAATATACCCAAATTCCCAAACGATTGCGATGTTTCTTAATTTTTGGTCAGTAAGTGTATATGTGTATAATATATATAATATAAAATATACAATATTATAATGAGGTTGAAACAAAACAAAAAGGATATTGAAAGAAGGGTGAGACTAAAGAATCTGTTACATGTCCCAAACTTAAATGCAAATTTGATATCTGTTTCAAGAATCACAGACTGTGGTTACAATCTGAAATTTAAAGATCAAGGAGACGTTTTTTTTTTCCTTGTTGGTGGGGTGTAGATAGAAGGACGGTAAAGGAAAGGAGAGGGGGGATCGGGTGTGGCCCCTCCCGGGTCTGCTAGTGAAAGACTTGTTGAGATAAAGGCTACCCTAGCAGGCCCTGGACGGCCGGGACATTTTTGATAGAACGGAAAGTTGTATATATGTGAACCGGAGGTTCTCCGAGGACTAGCGAGAAAGCCCTCGGAGTTGGAATCCATCTAGTGGCGAGATTGAGAACGACGGTCGCTACAACAGTATCAATTAATCCAGAAGGTCGAATAGTTTAACTATTTCTGATAATACCATCCGTTTTATTACTTTTTCCTTGAATGGAATTGTCTCTTACTCTACAAATAATGGTATCTTCTACAATTAATGTTTACACAAGGACCTTCCCGGTTCGTTGGGAGTTGACGGCGCCCGTGGAAGTTTTAGTGAGTAAAAATCCCACATAATCTCGACCTCTTCCTGGTGGGGGGATGGTAACATTTGAAGATCCTCCCCCCCTCCCCCAATAAGTTCAAATTGAAATCAAACCTATTCCGACTAATACCTGTTATAGTTTTCATGAATAATTCCTCCCGATTTCGGTCTGAATTCTCCATGTGTCTCTCTTCTGTGCACTGTATCATCCATGAATGCAACATTCGATTCTATTGGTTCATTTATTATGGATTAAACATAACGGAATAACTACCTTATATAAGATAGTGAAAGAACTTATATTATTGTTTGTGTATCAATCAATGGGCATATCTGAATAGCCCTACCTTTGTTGAATACAATTATTAACTACAGGATACGCACATTTTCTTTAGTAACACCAAATGCTTTCGTGGCTTATATGACAATTATATAAACTATTTACTTAAAAATTCACATGTAATCTTATCGCCTTTAATCTTATCGTCACTTGCCTACATGATTTGTCCTCTACCGGAAATTTATATTATTCCGTTTTCAAAATATTTTTCATTTTCTCATTTTCATCCAACGGTCATATGATCGATCGTGAACTTTTAAAAGTAAAGCTAAGTTGTACGGTCTTTACGGGGTGGTGAAACATAAGTCAGCGGAATTCTAATCGCCACAGGCAGCTAATCGCGCATCGGATAGAGAATATGATTTTCGCGAGGACAAATCGCGCATCAACAAAGTGACGTGATTTTCACGAGACCAATTCCGCAGGAAAACTACCATATTTCTGACACCATACTCCAGATAAAGCGTGATGTTACATCGACGTGTGGATTTAGTATTATAAGGTGCGAGAGTGATTGCGTGAGTTTGAGCGATCACACGAGTATTAATACGTATGTTTTTAATACGTAAGTGAAAAATCTTAAATGTATGGTATTCGGTGATTGTCATGGGTGAGAGCGAAAGTGATGAGGATAGAATGAAGCAGCTAAAGAGTGAACGCGGAGATGTATATACTGAGAGTGACCTTCGAGCGAGTGAGCAGACGTCGCAAAAGGTGTCGAGAGAGGTTGAAGGAGGGGTAAAGAGGGGGAAGAACGGCGGGTGAAAAGAGGGAGCGAGCGAGCGACAGGAAGAGAGAGATTTAATTGTATCTAATGGTACATTACATATGCGAACACATGAACACCCCATGCGCACACATGGGGGCCCCACCTACATACGACATATAAGGACACTTTTACATTATTGTGTATTTTTTATTGTGTATAATATATGTATCATCGTGAAAGTACAAAATTGACCAATTTACTCATACGATGTTACACCACCGTCGTTAATGGGAATAATACTACCGCCGAAGCGGTATTTCGACGATTGACAGGACATTTACCGTTTTTCATGTACCTCTTGATTTTACCTTAATACAACTATGCACGAAATGTTTAAGTACATAATTTCAATTTTATATCAATGTAATAAAAAACATACCATTCGAATAATTCAGCGTATACACAATGCATATTGACATAACGAAAGTTACATTGTATATTAATAATTACAACACAAAGTATTTCTGTGAATATAAAAATATATTCATATTTGATTGATTACTTCAGTGACAGTAATTTTTTAAATATACGATATCTAAGACTGTTAAAGAGAAAGTGAAAACGATACGAATAATTAGCATGATTATTATCATTATTATTATTATTTCAACTCGATCAGAGATATACCTTTTTCTGTCAATTATGTTACATAGAATTTTTAAATTAATTTACGGGATGAATTTGAAATGAGCTTAGTTCGTTATTTTTCAGTGCGGAATTAATTTCTCAACTCTAATTTTTACATATTAGGTTACATCATGTGTATCCTTATGTTCATCTAATATAGAACAAATATTTTTATTAATATTGCAACTATAAATTAGTTTTAGAATTGGTTTCAACGAAATTAATGTTAACTTTTATCTAAATAAAATTTATATCTCTCTATTTTCACCATATAATTTCGACTACTATTATTTATGTATACTTTATTTAGATATATGTATAGTCGGTAATTTTAACGTTGAATGCTTCTATTATTTTATACTCGTAAATTGCAAAGCGTTTACCGTCGATCCTGTTGCGGTATTTGTAAATTCGATCATATTTCTTCGTGTTTACGTATATTCCGTTGATGACCTGCGAAACAAAGCCGGGTAAAAGTATCAACATAAAATTCTCTCATCGAAGTTACCTTCAAATATTCTCAAAATACGAGCAACTAATTCCCAATTATCACAATTTAATTAAATTTGTCAGTCTCTTTAATTCGTTTACTGCTTGTACTTCAATTTTATTGAAAATAAAGTAATCGCAAATTAAAAATGAATACATTTATAATATATAGCAAGTATTTATAATAATCAGCAATTATTATAAATTTACAGATAGTATAAATAACAAATACATTTATAACATGTAATAAATAACAGATACACCTATTTAAAATTTTACAATATGGAAATAAGTTTTCGTTCAAAATTATTCGTCATTATAAAACCTAGGTAATGCAAATTCGATTAGTAATGAACACTTCAAAATGTGAATACGGCAGTGTATCCAAACAATTCTTGCAATCTATACAGAGTTTAAATATTCTCTAATAAATAATTTCACAATTATTCGAGAGACTATGAAAAAGAAAGTAAATTAAATCGCAATACTGATATGAATGGATATCTGAAAACTAAATTAATCCTCCAGCTACTGAAATTCACAGTCCCGTGCCGGGGTCACTTCTGACCCATACGAATATTCTATAAATATAAATATTTAGGGTTACCCGGCTCAGCAGCTCACCGATACTGACTAACAGAGGGTCCATCGCTCGAGCCCGAAGCCTCACCATATTGTACCAACACAGTGACAACCGACTCGTATAGGAACATGTGCTAAGAACGTATGGGAACAAATAATAATCACATCAATAATAAAATTATATTTATTATACATTTGTGTATTATTATCTTTGACAATGAAGACATTGCGTCGACAAATAGAAACAACAGAAAAAACTAATAAAAAGAAGAAAATAATAACAAAAGCGGCAAATTAATAATAAAAGTAGTCAAATATTGAAATAGTATTAAACTAAACAAAATAAAATAAATAAAATATACAAAAATAGCATAAAATGCTGAACACTGAAAACAAAAGTAGTATAATTCATTAAATACTAAATACTAAAATACAATGCTAAAATACTAAATCAATAATAAAAATACAAAAATATGAAATAAACCTTGAAATAAACAATTGAATACGTCTTCCTTCCTCAGAGCGTTCCTAGAAACTGATTGCCTTTGGCTGCAGGCTTTGTCACTTCGGCACCGTGGTTGGCACGTGTTAGCCACATAACGTTCGCGTATTATCGCTATCGTCTCTTTTCAGTTCGCACAAGCGGTTCGTGTTACAATATATGTTATTCTATTCCAGTGATTTTCCATGCGGGTCAAAAATGACCCCGGCATAGTATAGGGAGGGTTAAGTTTCATCGCGATAAAATAATTCGTTTGAATTTCTTCTTTTACTTTGACACATATAATATAATACGTTTAATGTTCGCTAATATTTGTAATTGCCCGTTAAATAACATCTATTAAGATAGGTACAAGTTATAGATTTTTATGCACGAAACTAAAATTTATTACAAAACCATTCTATGTATATATAACTTTAATAAAAAACGAAGAGAAACTTCGATATGCTAGAATCTTTAAACAAGTTCGACAATCTATTACAAAAACACTTTCTTTTGTCCATCAAACCATTCCTGAAGGATAGGACACTTTGACTTTATATTTTCGTGTATAACCTTCGCTTATACAGAATGAAAATAAATATTGCTTGTTCTAACATGTATGACTCATATTCGAAGATTTTTTAATAATAACTACGTACTGAAACAAATAGTTTTTTTGATAATAATAAATTGAACGTGTTTTGTACGAAAAACGTTGGCTTAAAACTCAATGTTAGAAAAGTTCTAGAAGGTTTCTTCGAGTTCGAGAAAGTTCTTAGGCGTAGAGGAAAAGTTGAAGTTCAGCAATCTGGATTCAATTTTAAGAATTATCGGGTTAAATGGAGGTATCGGTATTTCATTTCATCAGAAATAAATCAGTTCTCTCCAATAACGGTAGTTAGTATAAATAATTCTATTTCATAATTTGAATAAAAGGGATAACGAATAATTCAATCTGTAAAATGCATTAATTCTTCGCAAATTTCCTCAGTAGTCCGTAAAGCCAAATAAACTTTCGTAATCAAATTAATCCACATAACCACTAAAAATAAATATTACGTTAAAGCCGTCGACAATTGTACCAGAATAAAGTTTCCCGTCGGGGCATAAATAGTGACATATGTATGTATTTTTGTATATAGAACGTACTCATAACGAAATATTAATAAAGGTTGCTAAATTTCGTAGAAATAAAATATTTTAATTACAATTTATTAAATTTCTATATTTTGTCCCATGTTAAATTACCCAATACGCGTAGAGATTAACGAAAAAGAGCAAATATTACAACATTTTCATCGTTCGAGAAAGATTCTGCCTATAATTTTCCAAAAAATTGTGCGTCATTTGCGTAATATTCTCGTATAGAGTTCTGTGTTTAAACCTGAAGCTGGATCCCGTACTATGGCAATAAGAGGGGCGAGAACGGTAGTGGGGAGGTTAGTTCGTTGAGGTTGGGGGAAGGCCGTAACCCATAAAGCGTCGCTACTAGTCACTGCCGCGGCAGTGAGCGTCGCAGCGTCCGTCGAGAATGTGTTATTCGGTGTCCGTCTGCATCAAGATCGACACGTGGTTACTTAGTCGTTATACGACACGTTTTTGCACGGTTGAAGACGAACGCCGCGTAAATCTGGTACTTTCCCTTTTAAGCTTCCATTCTTTCGTTTAACGTAACGATAACATGACCGCGTATTGAAAGATACAGAAAAACTCGAAGGATTGTGCTTTTTCTCCTCGGGTGTTGCACGTTTGTGCCCTCGTGGCTGCGCGATGTGAAACTAATTCGTAGAATTGACAACTACGCACGAAGATGATCGCAACGGTTTTTCACCGGTAAGTTTTTTTTGTTCTGTAATCTTCCTTACCTTATACACGTTCAGCCATATTACGTTGTAAAATTATACGTATACCGCGTAACATAAACCTTTCGTTACGTCTAAGGAAAATAACGATATATTAAATCTGTTCAAAATGGCATATTTATAATTTTACATTACGATTCAGGTATTTCGCGTGCAATTTTTGATAATAATGTGAAATACGTATATATTGAACTGCGTTGTTCAGTGTGAACAAATAGCAATATTTCGTTCTATAATATTTGTGTAATTAATTTCAATTATTTATTTGCATCAATGTAACTGAATGCTTCTAATCGAATTTGAGGAATTTTCCTGTAATCGTGAGAAGATTATATGGGTACATTTAATGGTTTAAAACATTCTTATTATGAATACAAAGAAAAGGACAAAGATTAAGAAATGTTTAACCGTGATTCTTATACCAGTGTTATTAACCACCAGTGTCGACATAACCTTTGTTTTTCGTTATTGCTAAGTGTACGTTACGATCGCAAAGAATTAGTTAAACACGATACAGAACGTATTCGACGAAAATCGATATTTCAGAAATTATTACAAATCGCTGTGTTTAATAGATTAAGCCAGAGTCTCCTCGCTCGGCTTGTGGATACACATAAATATTTGCCCGGCGTATTAAACTGTTCCAAACAAAGACTTAACTGACTTTCCTACTAACATGATACTCGGTCGCCAGGAAAACCGTTACTGGTATAACGATTTTAATAGCAAGTAGAGGACGTAAGACGATTTATTAAACTGATCTTATCTTATTTTTTGATTTTCTTGATTTTTTTAATTTTTTAAATTTATTTTTTTAGGTTTCATTTGTTCAGTCATAAATATTTTCACGACGTATCGAGCTCTTCGAAACAAAGGCTTTAGTAACTTTCCTACCAACATGATACTTCATCGCGACGTTGCTGCAATAAAATAACAGGTACATGAAATAAGATTTAAACTGATTTTATTATACCTTTTATTTTTTTATTTCTTTTGCTGGGTGCAATTTATTAAAATAGTTAAAATAGTCCTTTCTTCGTACCTGCTTAAATATGATAAAACGTTTTCTTGATGGAAAAATCAGATAACTACATATTTAAATCAGACATCGAGTTACTAAAGCAGCTGTATTCTAGCTTCGCGTTACCATGATTTATGTGTTTCTCTCAGTCTCTATGGGGTCAGTGCGAATAAAGATGTGAAATTTTGATGAATGTTGGGGCAAAACTTTCGCAGTATGACTTAGTAACTGCTTGCAAAGTTAGTACCCGTGACATTAAAAATGCTTTATAGAAATCTTCTCGTGGCAAACATTGAAGTATAAAGTTAGTTAAATTTCATCATTTCCTTTGTCGAGTTCTTTTCGTTTTTCTTTATTCGCGCTGATTAATGTGTAATTCCGTTTTTATGCAGTCATTGTAACTACTTGCACAATGTAGAATTACTATTAGAAAAGTTTATTATCAATATCCATTTAAAGGAAATTTTTTAAATATTTTTATGGAGAAATTTTTAATTTATATTTAACGTATTGCAAATGTATTTAAAATTTGTTCTTATTTCAATAAATTTTATAAAAAATTCAAATCTATGCAAGGAAACAAAAAGAAAAGGTATTTGCTTAATTATTAAGTTTAGAAGTAAAAATTCATGTAAGATATTCAAACTCTCAAAAATTGATAAAATTTTAATAT